TGGGGACTGGATAGCTTGGCGCTCATGTGGGGTCGGATATCGGCTCACCGAAGCTCCGACGTTGCCGCAGGAAGGTACCCGCGCGCCATCATGTAAAATACGGTGATACCTCAGATCAGCTCTTTGAGCTCGCAATGTCGTTGCATCCGAAGCATGCTGCTCTTTGTCGTGCAAATATCTTTTGGTGCCAACTCTAATGATATCGATTCTTGCCCGCACATCTCCGAAGAGGCCCATCGACGCGTCGATACGTGTCGACAAGTGACGTGTAATGTCACCCATCATCTGCTAATGAACAGGGCTTCAATCTTTCTCGTTCGGAGAAGCAACGCCGACGTATAAAAGCCTTCGAGCGGGCTTGCGACCTGGCCACCAACTTAGACGCCATAATGACACCAGGCATGCACCCGACAGTCATCCCACGCCAACCGACGTCCTATCGCGAACATGATACCGGCCACAAGCTGTCTCGGCAAGCAGTACTCTGCTGCAGTCTGAAGGAGCCCTCCAAAAGCAACTGCAGACGTTCAACGCGCTCAATGACGGCATCGCGTATCTTAAGACTTACAATGCATGTCGGCGCGTCTCACCACGCGGCCTGATCATGTTCAGGGTCAGAGGCATACATACATTTTGTCACTGCGCTGAACAGGCTGAGCTTGACGACACATGTTGATAGGTGGAGAGCGATCAGACTGTGTCTTCTGCATGCCGTGGAGAGCGTTGTGGGTCGGAAGGCTTGCCTAGACATCACTCGGCATTCTTCATTAACATCGTCTCAGCAACCACTCCATTCTCACTTGCTCGTACCGCCTCCGAGGTCGCGCATCGTCCCCCGTGCACACGCTCATCAATCGCTACCCCTCGAACGATCTATCATCCGCATTACTCTGCCCGCAGGCGACGTCGAAAAGCCCCCCGCTCCACACCAGCCAACCGTGAAGGCCGCGGAGGATACAAGCTGCATATGGGTGGAGGTGGATTGCCTTGTGCCGCAGAAACTCTCCCGCCACACCAAAATGGGGGTTACTTTGTTTGATCTTGCGGTTGGAATTCAAACCCTCGAAGAACAGCGGCTGAATCCGCTGGTGCATCGTCACCGCCTGCGCATCCTCTCCTAGGCGAGGTTTGTGGTCCTTGCGCATGCGAGCTGCAGAACAGCGGCGCTTTATCAACAACTGCGCCCCTAGTTGCTCGCAGCTTTGGAGAGGATGCCAGTGCTACCGCCACAGAGCCTGGCCGCGTGACTGTGCCCTGGCGTGCCGTGCCGTGCCGGACGATCCCCGCTTGGTTGGCTACCCACACCCCAGCCTCATTGTGCACGAAACCTTAATTGCACAACCCCCGCAACAGAATCGTCGCTCCTCCAGCCATTCCACGAATCATTAGCAATTTGCTCGCTGCGCACTGCCACATGAAGAGGAGACATCCCAGCTTGAGCTAGCTTCGGCACCATTCCGGCTCCAACTCGCGACTTACAAGGTCACATTGGGTAGCTTACTCCGCAAACCCTGCGCGTCTACAACTGTGCCGTAGCATTACCTACAGGAGAGGGTTCACAAATGACTCTTGTGACTTGACACGTCAGTACTCCTAGCCCTATATGAGAGGACAACACAAAAATCGACGTGGACTACATGTCTGCCTGCCTTCTTCTTCGCTTATCCTTTCAAACTCTCTACTGCATGTCTTTGCCGTATCCAGTCACGCTACAGCCCTCCTAGCATGGAAACCTTCCGCGATGCACTGCTAAGCCCGTTTCCCAAGGGCCCATCGGACATCACAAAGTTAGACGACAGCACCCATGACCGGCAGAACGTCCGTGAATGCATCGCCCGCGGGGAGATCGAGCAGCTTCGCCTCGGAGCCTTTACCAACCGAACCTGGATCATCAGCGACCGGTATTGTGCTGTGGGCGACGGAGTCGATTCTCTTGAAGGCTACCTACATTCTATATGGCACATCTACTATCAGCTTGGTCGGCTGGCGTCTCACGAAAGCGCGGACCAAGACCGCCTGGTCCTGGATATCGTCCGCATCCAGGGACTTGGTCCCCTAACTAGGCCTGTGTCAGGAAACTACGGCATCGATATCGCACGAACAGTGCAAGGCACGCTGTGGAATGACCTGCCCTTCCTGGCCACGGACATGACGGATTTCTGGGTCACCAATTGCGCGCCCATGTCCGGTGTTCATCGCCTCAACTTGGCCTCCTTCTTGGCCAAGCTGGCGTCAACCCGCGTGGCCAACCATAAGATCTGTCAGATCGCTCTCGTCCTGTTTCGATCCACATTTGAGGAGACACGAGCCCTTTGCAGCCCAGAGACGCCAGACGAGGAAGATCTATCTCGTGACATCCGCAGCCTCACTGTCGCGGATTTACTGCCAGCTGCTTGTGCATGGATCAAAGAGGCCAACTACTGCCTCATCCAGTTATCCGACGCTTTTTGGAACGACTGCCCAAGCACGCTTAGCCACGGTGGCCAAAATTTCGTCGCATCTGAGCTAGGAATGCGTTCGCCAATTGGATTTACGCCGTGGCGATGGATGTACTGGCTGAAGCGTCTGCATGAGATTCGGGACGAGGCACACGCCGCCCACGAGGAGCGCCTGGAAGAGCACGCTACTGATGCCATCGAGCGCATGATCAATCACGTCAAAGAACGCAACGCCGGCATCCTGCGAGCATATCAGAGCGGTTGGCCTGATCTGCATCAGGATCCACATCTACTGTGCTTAGTTACGTAACTCCAAAGTGAACAAAAGCGCGCGACTGGGTTGGCACTTCAGCCTGTGTCGTAATGTAATGCAGGATATTCCTAAATTGAGTTTGAACCCCAGGCTAATTTCGCCTTTATTATCGTCATTAAAGGCTAGGAATCTACTCCACCGATGTCATCCCCTACCGCTTGCATGATCTCAGACCAGAAAAATTTAATGTCAACCTCAAGGATAAGAGCTAACGTTTTGACCTTCTTAGAGAAGATACCTGAAAGCCCACGACGAGCGTACGGTTCAGCGGCGCGATTCCAAATCGCTTGAGCGACCAGCCCCGGAGGACTCCAAGACAAATTAAAGATATTGCGAGCGCCAAAGCCGGAGGTGGTTTATACCACAGCCCTCCGCCTACAACGCCTTTCTCTCGGCATCTAGATGAGGGTGTCTGGGTGAGTTTTTGCATTCGACATGCAGCCACAATGTAAGTTCTTCTGTGTAGGCCGAAAGTGAGTGTCAATCGAGAAACAACGTAGTGTTGATGTACATGGCCAATGTGACCATACAATCTCGCTCAATGTGTAATTCCGTCCGACCACTTCACAACGCACTTCCCGTATTATCAACGCTATAAATTGCACTAGTAATCTCTTATTCTCCTCCACCAACAAGTCAACATTCCCCATCCACGCATACAACAACATCTCGATGGATCCAGAATATCGCCCCGAATCTCCAGCTAATGGATTCGCCACCACGCCTATATCTCAATGGGATACCACTGCTGGAGATGCACATTTGAAAGATGTCCTTTTCGCCGCCTGCGATAATCGCCGCCACCAATATCTTGCTCTAGCTGCCAAGATCCGGGAATCTGACGAAGAAACTGCAGGAAAAAAGGCTGAGCTACTCACCGCCAAGGAGCATTTAGGGTCTGGAGTGAATGCTTTAGATGCAGCTTCGGCCGACAGTACCTCCCTGGGAAGCGTTGACGACATAAAGAAAAGCGTAACTGCTTACGAAGACATACTCCTAGATATCGAAAAGCTGAAAACAATTCGCGCAGAATGCGTTGTTAAAGTTCGGGAGTTCCAGGAGTTTGACCAGAACATTGGGAAAATGACTCGTGCGCTGCCAGAATACAGCGGACCATCCCTGGAAGGTAAGGAAGACAAGTCGTCGAAGTCCGGAGGAAAAGTACCGCTGAAGCTCCGGCTGTATCCTTCCTCCCATGAGCGGGCCGGCCGTCCACTACCTGTTATCGTAGATCTCAGCCCAAAATCCCCATATGAACCAACGAAATGCGCCAATTGCGGGTTTCGACAATGAACACCGCGCCGTCTAGCAGCACTATCACGGTAGATATCCCACCAACCGAGTAGACATGACGCGCAACTCTGGGCATTCCACCGGTGTTACGCATGTAATTGGCTGTTCTGAGCTCTAGCAGACACCAAATTGTATCCACACGCGCATTACTTAGATAGCAGGTCCGAAGGGACCATATGAATTTAGTACCCAATGTTTTTTTTTCATCTTCGGCATAATTTGCATTGACTATGTTGCGTGGTGGTGATATCGATGCAACTCGATAGGGATATACAAACGATCGCTTGTCTCTCGAGATGGGTAATCTGTAGACTTGATGTTGCGCCATTCATTAACGACGAGATGTGCCCTTGTTCGTGGACACATGCTGCTAGGGTGACTGCTCTTTAGGATATGTGTTATGTAGTTGATCGAACATTAGGTAATAATCGATGCGGGGGTTCGCAATGAAAGCGTATGTGACCATGTTTACAAAGTACATTCCGTTCAACGCTCTGAAGTTTGCGAAGTTATGTGGCCCATGTCAAAGCAGGTCCGCCACATATCGGGCCCATTGGGGAAGGCGTCACGTCACTCAATGTCAGGCTCTCATGCGAATGAACGGGCTAAAATAGCTAAAGTAAGTATCTCTGGTTACTGTTGGCTTCCCGTGCTTCGCAACCACTGATCTTGATGACTTCATGCCCTTGGAATAACAACCACCTGGATTTCTTGAAGTGTGTGTGGAAGCACTTCATTGATGTTGCCTCGTTTCCAACTAACACCAGGACGCCAGCAGCAGCATTGCGATCGACAAACTGCCCTATTTGTGGGCAAAAGCAAGTACTGTCTACATTGTGCAACGACGAAAGTGCGAATCAGGATGCGAGTCGGCAGCTCAAGCAACTGCCTTGATATGCGATTGAGTGGGGATGCTTCCTGCCCGTAGTATGTGGAACGAGACACACAGTGAAGTATTAAAGACCCAGGAAGTCTTCGTCCGAAAGCGTATCGTCGTGGAATTCATCGACTTCCTCGTGGTTTTCCTTTGGGAGGGGTGATACGAAACCGGTGGATGTTGGTACCCCATCGCAGTGGACTGCATAGAGCGAGAATAGCTGCTCATCCATCGCCAGGGCTTCGGACGGGGCGTCGACTACTATTAAACTGTTAGGAACGGCACGTTCGTAGTGGTATCGATGAAAGACGCACCCCTTGGATCTTCGACAAACGAAAATGTCGCGTATTGCTTTTCACGGGTGCCGACGTAATCCCACTCGTAGTAGCTAGTGGGTCTACTAACGGTGTAAGCTGTGACATATTCACCAAACCCTGTTCAAAGCCTGCTGATACTTACTGTTCTGATGTCGGGATCTTCGCCATACCTCGTGTACCTTTGCTCATACAATAGTCCACGAATAAAGGTGTACAGCGTACTTGCACTTTTCCGTCCAGAGACTTGGAAGAGCAGGTGGACGCTAGATCTGGGGTGCAGAGAACTTGAACGAAGGATGATGGGGTGCAGGGAACTTGCACTTCTGGCCCGTTGCTACTGATGTCGTCCCTCGATGACATGACTTTCGAGGATTGCTTGACCTCTACAACCAGGCGGCTGAAGCTCTCGAGATCGATTTCCCTGTCGCGAAAGGCCGTATCCATGAGTCGCCCTTTTGTCGCGTTAGCCTGATATGAAGATGGCGTTGGGTAGCGCATACCTATGCTCACGCTTTGTGACCAATCGAATGCGTAGCGTCGACCGAGACTATTGGTCTGACTGCTTGCGGTCGAAAGATTGGAGCTTCCAGAATATTCACCGTAGGCTTCATTGCTATGTACGGTTTCTCGCTTGATTTCTCGCATCTCCAGAAGTAGTGATCTTTTACTACCCAATGCGGCAGGCATGGCCCAGAGTGGTCTGCGTATTGCAGTGGTATGTGTGAAGTGACGTCGGTGCAGCTTGTATGATAACGGCGTGCTGGGAAAGACCGCTCGTGTAGTATCTTTGGGGTTGACAAAGTAATGAAGGAGCGGTTGTCGAATATCTGCCGAGCCCCTCAGCGCCAAGTACAATTTCAATCTTTCACTGTTGTAGGTTGTCACCAAACCTTCAGCAGATGTATCAAGCCCCCGATTCAAGCACATGTGAAGTACGTATACCAAACCCATCAGCGGATGGATCACTCATGTTGCAGTCGACTGGAAGCTTGCAGCGAATACCTATCAAGAATTAGAGAATAGCTGACGCGCCCGTGTCGCAGCACCAAGACAAGAGAATTGGAAGGACGGCGCGAGATGAGACTGGTCTGACCCTTGACCTAAGTTCAAGAGTGTCGGTCAGAAATTCGACTTGACGTGGTCGCGGAACGGGATGAAAAGGCGGTTACTCTATGCCAACCGAAGCCATCAACGGACAAGGCCAGATTCGCCATCGTCGGTGCTATCATGATTTACATACGTTAATTGCAAACAGTTCGCAGAGTTTGTAGTGGCGTGCGTAGTAAGAGGCTTCCGACGCGAGGGAGTAAAAGTCGCCTGGACTGGACGTGAATTAATATATGTGTTGTGTAACTACATTCGTCGGCCACTGGGAGTGAATCCAGTGACTTTGTTGGGTGTACGAGCATAGCAGATCTGCTGATACAGTCAGCCACTGCAGCATGGTCTTAACTGTGATCTGTGGAGGCCTGTGATATGGGACTTACTGGCTAGCAGCTATGCACATGATGTACCAACAGCACAACGCGGGTATTCCATATCGATCACCGGGTGAATGTGTATAGTGTCCGCAGTACTGGTAAACCTCTTCATCCCCAGGCCGGCTGATAGCCAAGCGAAAAAGGAGCTATCCCGGAACTAACCAATCGGTCCAAAAACCAGCAACATTAGTGTTAGGCTCCGATGGTTGAGTCACCGCCGCTGAAGAGCGTTCGCCGATTTCATGAGTCCCGATGGTGAGTAGACTGGCCGACACGGAGTTTATTTTCGCGGTTTCCAGAAGGGGCGCAGGAACGTCAGCGACTGAATCGCGGCAGTGCCCGATATCCAAAAGCAGGATCTCTCCTCATCAGACTGGCAGTTGCTGGACACTTGCGAAACGCGTGCAGATGATGCATGATTGAAAGGCTCCCGAAAGAAGACGAGACGGAAGTGGTGTTGCCGTAGTCAGATCCGCACAGCCAATAGGGAGATGCCAAGCCCGCAAGTTCTGACGTCATCTCCGGAGATTCGACCTGGAGATGCTCACCACAACTTCTCCAACCACATCACTGGAACCGCGCTCATCGGACTCTGATCTGTGTTCTCGCATTGTCCTATTATCACTGTCATCAATGCGTACCTCATCACCCTTCTTTGCGCAAATTGGGACGCGCAGGGCTGAACCAGCTCGAGGCGGCGGGTACCCTGCTCTTGCGCGCCCGTTGCAATAGAGCGAACCGTGCATCCACATCTGCGCGCACAATAGTTTACGCAGGAGTCAGCGCTGCGCTGCATCTGGCGGCACCGATTTATACTCACAATGATCCCCAATATCAGAATAACAGCACCAGCGAGGACTCCGACCGGGGCTGTAGTAGAATCTACTGTAAGCTTCATGTAACGAGAACTGGCTCCTCGGGCTCATCGCCAGGTCTTCACACGTTCAGCACTCGGACCCGCTATACCAGAGCGACGAAAGCGCATTTGGCGCACCACAGGCTGCGTTGGACAACTGCACAACGCCCTGCCGACGAAAGGGAGTCGCCATACGAACGAGCGCTGACTTCCAGATGCAACCCGTTGGCTCTTCGCTGGCATTCCGCTCTCCTGTGGAATCTACGCCTCTCATCAAGCATCGACGTCAACCGGCCGGTCCACCTCAAGCCCACGCCCCGCATCTACTTTCCGAAACGCGAACGAGTGCATGAGCCGTCCTGAAGCGCAGCTCGCATTTGTCGCTGCGTCTAGACATCCCAACTGAAGAGACTACACCACACCAAGAAAGCTGACACGGTCGTACTCCAACAGCATGAAGCGGACTTTGCCCGAGCGCGGACACAGGATGCGCAACGCCTCGGGAAAGGCCTGACTCAAGGAGATGGCACCTTGCTTGGCTGGTAAGTTACCGCGCCGTCTCTCTCCGAAGTCATATACTGATCATGCTGTTTGGCGAAGCTCTCAGCTCTCCTCATCCTCTCTCTTTCGCATGAAACGCTATCGAAGGCGATGCGACCGCAAACCACGAACACCACCATGTCTCCACCCTCTGCGAATAACCAGGCTTGTCTCCGTGATGACGCAAAGCTAGACAGGTTGCGATATCGAATGCGACGCTCGAATGTGACGGGTGCAAGGACAAACATCAGAGGAATCTTGGAGGACTTGCGGTTGTAGCTGCGACTTGGGCTGTCGCATGGTGCTGGCCATCGCTCGGAGGTCGAATGCAGGTTGGATTACCCTTCCGCTTCTGGGCATATCACGCTGAAGCCCGGCCACCGCTTTCCGAAACGTGGACGAGGCCCTCCGGTATAAGGGTGCATTGCGCCACGCTCAGCTCGGCCATAGTCTCCAAGAATGCATCTACAGCGCGACTTCGGGCTCATCACTTAGGCGTAGACGGAAGGTCAGGAAGTGGCGAGACTCGGCACGCACGAGGTAGTTTGAGCAGGCCTTCTTACTCTACTTTGTCGTCTTTATGGCTTTGCAGCAAGTATTGCGCTTTCGTCATGAACGACAACTTACCGAACATAAATGCAACATCAGGTTCTCCATCAATCAGCAGCTCCATGCCTGCTGCGCGATAGCCGTCAACCATGTTTACGTTCAGTCTAAATCTACCGAACAATATCACACTATAGGAAGTGTAGCCATTCGAACATCGATTAGCAATTGTTACGGCGTCTACTTCATATTAATGAGCCACCCATCCGAAACTCCAATGCAGCTTGACGACTCCCGCGGAACTCTCGACTCATTCCTGCAATTCTGTCATCGAACAAGCTCTCATTTACTGGAATGATCGTGTAGCCAGACATGCGCAAACCTTACTCGATATACCAAACGCGACTAGCCTCTACTTATTTCCTTCAAATCGAATGTCTGCTCGTACTTGGTTTTGTTCGTCAAAGCATGACGAGTTTGGATGGAGAAGCTGAGTAGACACATTACGAGGACTTGTTAGACACCTCATGCTGTGATTACGTACGGCCAAAAGTTAGTTCTGGACGTTGTACTCTTGTGCATCCTTTCCAGCATCGGTCACACCGCAAATGGCTCAGCGGCCAACATAGGTACCATCGGTGGCGTAGAGCTTTAGTCCAGGATGAACCTACACATTTCAATATGCTCATAGCTTGCTGCATGCTGTTACTTTCGTGTGATGGAGCGACCGTATTTCTACAGCCCTAAATCCATATCACGATTCGGTCGTCTTTATCTCGCATGAGTGGGGACCATTGCACAACTTTCAGAAGACATGGTGTAGGTATGTTCCTCATTTTAGTGCGCTCGATCATACATTAATATACTCCGAAACGAGATGACACAGCTTCTGCCCGGATAAGATTGCCTGAAAGTCAGCCATGATCGTTGCCGGTGATGGGCACAGGATTCACGTGACAGCGCGATAAGCGATAAATGGGGCCAATCGCGCGACGTCACTTGCCCCTTGCTCACCACCTGGGCACTCTCATCCGATGCATCATGAAGCCGTTGTTCCACACCACTCTCAACGTCGCCGCCCTGCGAAAGCTTCAACTCGTCGCGATTGATCCAACAGGTGCATTACCCAGGCCGAAGCCGGTATGAAACGGTCGTCGTTCTGTGCAGCCGTGCCGGCACCCTCGTGGGCATCATCGACATGACCACCACCAGTGTAAGAACGTACAAGATACCTCCAATGCACCACCACTGACCGCAACTAGTACATCACTCTGGATCCCGATGTAATCTGCGCGTCCCTCATACTAGATCTCTCCGCATCGGTAATGCTCAAGATAAACCAGACGCCAGCCACTGCAATTCACGACTTTGACCTCAAGCCCGACATACCGTAGCGCATGCCCGCACGCGCATCCGAAACAAGCACGACTACACACTACGGCGGCTGGGGATGATGAGGAGAGCCACTGGAGCTTCCAAGGGATGCGGAACCGCAGGATTGGCCCTGTGTGCTGAGAAGTCTGGAACGCTGGACCTCATCGCGCCTTGATGGAACGCCGTCGCAGGCTGGACGTGGATGATGTTGCGCATTCTATATGCATAATTACAGACGCGCATGTTTAGTCTCCCCTGTCATGGCGGCTGTTGGAGTAGCTATCGGATATCTAGTCATATCCTATTCTGACGGCACGAGGCAGGTCACTGTCTGGATCTCCCACTTCGCCACGCTGACAACGACAGGGTTA